AGTGCATTAAATATCTAATAAATAGAAGGAAATTTTAAAAATGTAACAACATTCAGAGATTAATGCTGGGGGTTGAGAGAAAAACTGACTGACTGTATGATGAGAATATATATATGTATATATATATAGGGCATTAGAAAAACACAATTATGAGCAAACTAAAATATATGGGCATATTTATTCTGATGTAACAAATTGTCTAACTATTTGCTTTCTTCTGTTAGCTGAAAATGAGACAAGATTGAATTTCACACATTTTAAATCACTGAACCACCTGATTGTTTCACAAAGCATAACGCGATAAATTCACTAAATCATACCTTGCTTTAACTGTCGTTTTACGTCATTAAAGAACAATATGTACTCACGTACATGTAAGCCCACTTGGCCTGCTTTGAAGGAACAGATAGGTTGGGGGTTGCAACATATTACAGATCGAACAAAATTACGTCGAATAATATACCATAGATTATTGCTTTGCCTGGAGATTCTCTATAAGGAGTAAATTAAACCGTGCTGAAAATTCTGTACCGTAAATAAATATGTTACACAGGCCGTACAACTAGGCGTGTTTCTCGTCGGATTTCCGAACATCACCCTGCCTAGTGGTTAATTAAAGGACAAACAAAATTTATTCGTAGCGCCATTCTATCTCATCTTGTGGATACAGAACACAGGATTGATGTTAACCAGGCTTTCAGAGCCATTTACCGCATACCAACAAATTTTAGTTTCACCTTAAGAGTTCGATTACTAAATATTGCTGAAGCTGTTGGGATACACATAAAGACGCCGAATTTGTGCGTGCAAAAGAAGCTAGCTCAGACATTATCCTTACCTTGGCCATCTAGGTTTGAATGATTCTCAATTTTTGTGGAATTTTTCTAATTTTAGTTGATATTCTAGTTGCTATTATATCTTTATTATTATTATTATTATAATTAAGCATCTTTAATGAACTTTAATTCCATTAATCTTACTTAACAAATCGATATTATTTAAAAAACACCAATATTGTTATTGGCTGCTATTCTGGAATATTCTATGTATATAAACATATATATATATAAGTAGAGCCAGAAGAGGAAATTATCGAAAAGGATATTCTTTTCTCAATTATTTTGTGTTTTATAGATGTCTAAAAGAATATTTTCACTACATTATGCAATAGGCGCAATCAGGTCACTTATATATATATATATATATATATTATATAACTTAATTTCATTTTCTTTTGACCAAACAAGCGTATCATTCCTAGTCAAAGCTGATAAATCCTCTCTATTAATATACATGATTTATAAAACTGTAATTACTTAAAAACTGACATATAGTTTATGAAGCCTATGGAAATGTAATCTATAGAAATATATACATATTTCAAATTAGGTCCAAACTAAAACTCACTTTCTTCTGTTACATAAATAGCCGATTCTAACAACGAAACTATCAACTTTTACTGAGATTCTAAATAAAATGTGCATATGCTTTGTTGTGTATAATTCCACTGAGGAATGAGTTTACTGCATATGGCAAGCTGTGGCAGAATAATGGATCTGAAATTCCCCATTAAAGATCTATTTACGATACTGATACATATTTAGATATTTCAACTAAATTTGTAGTTACTACCCTATTTTCCTTTGGGCTGTACATCACTGTTCTAAACTTTCATTGGCTCTTTTTATCTTAATTCTTATGAATTGTTGTTGTTTTTTGGTTCTCTAATTTTAATGCCTTTCTTGGCTGTTGTATGATTGTGTTTATAATATGTTTTTCTACGACTGAGATGTCGTCTGAGTGGAGTCAAGGCCACTTCTTGGGACGACCAATTAACCTTGAACTGTGAGAAACATGTTTATTCCGTTTGATTCTCGAAAACAGTTCTCAACCCACCTTGTTGGAAACATTCTTATTCTCAGGCAATTTAAAATTATGTTTGTTCACTGAATTTTGTTGCAGAATAGATACTTAATACCTGAGAAACGATTGGACTGCATAGCTGCCGGACGGTGTTGTAGAGATAGTTTTGTATTTTTGACATACCACTATTATTGAGTAGTCCTAATCTTATCCTTTGCATATTACTGAACTGTAGCTGACTTGCGGAATTTGAACAAACTATGCAGAAGAACGCATCGAGTGATTTCTGTGTTCAAATTAAAAATACTTGAGTTTTATTCGTTACACACTGCGTGATGCATTATATAATTTAGTCGATTTGTTGCCTTTCTTGTATTCATGCTTGAATACTAAGATACTGATATTCATCTACTTCATATAACTGAAGAAACGTTATCAGAAAATAAACCACTTAAAATTTATTATATTACAATGGAAATGTATTCATTTTACTGAATTATAACAGAATTAGTTTTTAAAACTGGAAAGTGATCAGGCAGATTGATTGAGTAATGCCAGGCTGCCAGGAAATGTATCACCGTAAAACTCGAAAGTACCAAATGAGCAGACAGGAAAAATATGTTAAATGAACTGATTAATAATATTGTGAAAACTGAATTCTGTACACCGATACATGAATTCACATTCACACAACTAATAGCTTATGTTTCAATGCAACAAATGTAATTTGTCAAGCAAAGTAAAATGAGCATATATATAGGAGAAAAACTGCTTGAAAAACAGATAGATACATCTATAAACTGTTTTTACTTCGACAGAATTCCTTCTTTTAAAATAAGTGTGGTTGATAGTGGAGGAATGAACATTTAAGCCAGTAAAAACAAAATCTGTACTAAAAAGAAAAGTCGAAATTATGTTTAGTGAACAAAGGATTTTTTTACAACCCTTTTCCGTGGATTACTTTGAATAATGGAAGATTTAACATATTTGTAGACTAGTACAAGATCTTTTTATTCTGTGGATTTTTTTCAACTGCGTACATCCCAAACGGTATCAAAATTATGTATTACAGATAGAAAGTATAAGCAACATAATTCCGAAATGTTGTATGCAGGACAAATTATTCAGCGTTAACAAAGCTAACAATTTATAGAATAATTAGACTAAATAGTTCCGGAGGAAGGGGCGTGATAGAGTTCGGATTTCGCTTAGAAACAAGGATCAACTAGAGATAGAATACAAGACCGAAAAACACAGTGAATTTATACATATAGTATGACGGAAAGTCCAAAAGGGTGGGAGTGAAAAGGACAAAGAATTAAGTAAATTTAGATACTTAACGACTATTCATTTCGATAACTTCTTCGGCTACAAGATTTGCATATCCATAATAGTTAAGATAAAACCGATGTTAACAAAATTAACGTTTTTCAGTAACACTGAATAATTAAGATCAAAAATTCAAGATGTATATGTGAATAAAATGTTCAGTTCAAAACATCTGTACATGATAATGTGCAAAAATATAGAAGTAAATTGAACATCGGATATGAAAGTAAATGATCCTGAATAACAATGAATATACAACCGTGCATGATCACGATTAATTTTCAAATTCAGTCCGATTATAAACTTTATATGAATAAACAACGGCGTCAAAGTGAAGGATAGAAAGACAATGGAGCAGATTGTGTACCAGTGTGTAAATGAATAACCAAGGATAAATTAAGAAAATAGAAGGTTAGTTCGGACATGTGTAACCCTAAAAAATTTTGGTTGGGGGAACTAAAACATATAAGATGGAATGTCCCACCCAGCATACATGACGTAATACAGTGTTCACCGTCGCGCTCAGGAACCCCTAGCAATGTGGTTAAAAAATGATGTCATTAGAAGGATAACAGATGGATATTAGCGCA